GTGTGTGTGTGTGTGTGTGTGTGTGTGTGTGTGTGTGTGTGTGTGTGTGTGAAAAAGCTCAATAAAATCATTATATTTAATAATTTTTAATGTTTAAATAAAAATTTTCTTAATTTATCTTAATTATTTCTTAAAAACATATTTATTATATTGAAATAATTTTTGATTCATATTTTAAATCGCCACCACATATTTTGTATTATTTACAAATATAATATAGGAAAGTCTGAATTTTTTTTATAATTTTATTTTATTTTGTTAAAAAATACGTGTATCTTTAAATAAAACATTTTTTTGCAAAAATGCCTTTAAGATGTCTTATGGCTCGATTTTTATATGCATATTATAAAGTGTAGCAATATTTTTTTACTCAAGAATAGCAGAAATTTTTCTATTCGAAAAACAACACTTTGTATTGATTCGAGAAATTGAAGTTGACATACATATATACCCGATACAAATAGAGAAAAGATGTCGAAATTCAGGTACCCGGTTAAAAAATTAAAGGTGTGAATTTTTTCAATAAACATTCTTTCATTAAACATAAAGAAAGAAGTACCAAAATATTCAATAATTACTAAACGCTCAGCTTTTTTTTTGAGAATAAGAAAAATTTCTTTCTTTTGAAAAATCAACATTGTATTGACACCCTGAATAAATAGACATAAGATGCCGTGTCTCTAAGAGACGGCAATAAATCGCATATCATATGCCAAAGCTTTTATATTGTTTATGTCTACAATTTAAGTCTGTCGTATATAGGACTGCCGCAGACAAAATTCCGTAACAGTATGCGTAAAGTGTAAACTTAAGTCGATGAGCCAATCAGGATATTGTTTTAGATGTACGTAATCTGACGGAAATAGAAATAGCAGTAAACTTATCCGTAAAACAAATTTCAACCGATTGAAAGAACTGTTGTAACATTCTTCAATATGATTGGTCTTGCCCTTAGTTTCTTATTGGGTCTAAATGTATAAACCAATCATATTCAAAAATACATCATAAAACATCCATTTTAATGACATCTATTTTATAACACCTTTAAAAATATATATAATTAGGTTCAAACTTGAATTACTTATTTTACAGTATTCTGATTCATTTATTTATTTAAAACATTTTTAACAATAAATTTTTTACATTTCAAGAGTTTTAAATGTCAAAATGTCATTGCGTAGTTATTATTAGAAACATTAAAATTAACACGATGTCAGTGTTACAACACATTAATTAGAATAATGTAATATCATCATAACGTATAGTAATATCACACCTTAGAACGAACGCAACTTCAATTTCAATTTACACTAGTCTCAACTGACTTTAAATCTCTTCTGACTTTAAAGACGGCGGAGAAAAAGTTGAACTTAGTGCAAATTTTTTTTTGCACCAGTTTTATCAATGAAACATAAATATGTGAACTCAGGGTTGCCACAGACCTGAAAAACCGGGAAAGGTCAGAGAAATCGAAATTGGTCATGAAGAATTGGGAAAAGTCAGAGGAAAATGTAAAAAAGTCTGAAATTTTGAAATTTGCTCACAATTCCTTTAAACTGCTCTTATTCGAAATAATTGTTATAATTTTTTAAATATTATATCTGACGTAGTCAAATACGTTTAACACTCACGCACTTTAAATGATTTTAATAAAATAATTAAAATTTATATTTTATTCATTATTTTTATTTGATTGCCCTTTTTCGTCATAATTGGATTTTTTTTTTCAATAGTAATTTATTTTTTGTTGACTTAAATTTGTACTCAAAACTTTATTATGCTATTACGTTTCTTTTGCATTGTTTTTAATAATGTAGGTTAGCTTATTTCTTACAATACTTTATATTCTAAATGTAAAATTTAGATATTTTATATTAGTCTTGAACAATTTTCTATTTTCATCTGGGAAATCTAGAAAAGTCATAGAATTTTAAAATTCATTTTCTGTGGCAATCTTGGAACTGCTTTTCACACTGGAACAATAAAGTTGCACTCAAATATGCACTAATGTTGTAGTTCTCCCAATAGAAAACACTATTAGTATACAAGGTATACGTGACACTGTCTAATACAACATACCAAAATTACCTTTTTTACAAAAAAATAAAAGAAAGGCGCTAAGTGTACGCGTTTGTATGTGTGCTCCTTGAAGAAAAAAAGTTACTTTTTATTCCAAATCTATTCCAAACCTTTTTTCTAAACTATTAAAATAATAATTTTTTTCAAAAATGAAATCTTTAAATTGCGCTAATTGTAAACAGAAAATACATTTCATTGAAACACTAATATTGTATAACTACTTTTAAAGAATAAAACTTAAGTGGTCTTAATAAATAAAAAAATTATTTGTGTAAAAAAAACTTAGCGCCACTAGCAAACTTGATCTAACGGCGCCAAGTTTTTTTACATAAAAAATTTGTTCTTTATTAAGGACCACTTGAG